GGCGTTTAAAGTCATGAAATTGATTTCCTAGCTCCACAGTGAAGCATCGAAAACCAACCTATGAAACCTGAAATGAAATGCACTGTTGCCTAGATTTTACTGTAAATCGCTACAAGGCAAGACGAAAAATGTCCGCTGTTCAACATGAGTTAAAAACTGAACTGAGGTAGTTAGTTATAACTGAAAACTGTGACATAGCGGATAACGCCTTGGCATTTTAAGCGTTTGGTACGAGGTTTGAGTCTCAGTGGGAACAACATCACTGGCGTGTAGGCACATGAAGCTGACAAGTCCCAAATAAGACGAAACGCGCGTCTTAGATTCTTCTGCTAGCCACAACCAACCAAATTATCATAAGTAACACTCAGGCAATATCGAGGCATCCGCATAGAAGCCCAACAAAACAACGGAGAATAACAAGTATGTCAATAAATAGTGAAAACATTTTCATTGTCCAGTAGAACATTACCAATCTGAATGATTTAATTTTGTTAAGAAGTATACCTCCAGGTAGATAATGCTTTGGCATTTGAAGCGATAGTTTCTAGGCTTGAGTCTTAAGGAGGAAAACATAAGCATGCGACAAATCCAAAATAGAACGAAATATGCATTGTGGATTTCACTACTAGCCATCACCATTCATGAACTTCACTTGAAGTATTAATTTAGTACTCTAATCTCATAAATTATAAATAAAGTATTTCTTCGAATCTCTGATACAGATTTAGAGTTTTTATTTATCCGAAAAGTTCATCAAAGTTTTTAGTTTTACCAGTTATAAACGATATCTTGAGATTTATTTACTGAACTGGTCAATAAAAAGAGGTTATAGAACTGATATTCTAAGGTTTGTCATTTGAAACCCAGTAGAAGTGAGCCTGAATCATAGACAATCACTTCAGATAAATTCTTCAGTAATATTCATTCAATCTTGTGAATAAATGGAGTGTCTAATTGAAATGAAATTAGTTAACAAAAAAAAATATATGAAAAAACAGAATTCTTCTGGAATGCTAATTAATGCATACTTAAAAGAATGAATGACATAAAAATTTAAACATCAGAAATGGGCGTAAACCTTCTGGTGATGACTGTTTATTGTATTTCTATGACTTTTTTTCTAGAAAGAGTAGGAAAGAAAAACAACAAGGTTAAATTTGGAATGATGAAGACTTTAAGTGATACTAGAATTATCAACTTTCAATAGATGAGAATGTTAGGATGCGTTTATCTGATAGAATACTTCTAAGAATTTGAACATCGTCATAGATTATTGATCCAAAGAGTAACTTCAGTGAACAATTGTTTTAAATAACATCTTCTTCTTCTTCTTCAGACTTTACAGTCATAAATCTATGAGAATAAGTGAAATATAATAGCCAAAGTAAGGTATGATTAACAATCATTACTGTATTGAGATAGTAAGTGTTTTGATGAGTGAATAGAGGGTGATCAAATCGAATAGAATTGTGGAATGGTTATCAAACTAGTGAGTTAGTTGTGAAAGGAAATCGTACAACTTAATGAAGATTGCACGAGACATGATATATCACAGAAAAAGGATGATCTACTTTGATTTCAGTGTTCAGTATCTCCTAAATGTGAAACATGTCAACATGTACCAGGTTGGATAGAGAAAGGAATGAAAATGAACATCAACAATGCATTCCTCTCACATCTAGTAAATACCAGACATAAGATTAAGGTAGGTCACATCTCGTCTGTCATATATTGTATCCCTTCAAATCTACCTATTCGTCCAACACTACACATCTCATCAATAGTCGAAGCCATAACCATCAACTCAAGATAACTGGACATATATATCTTCAAAAGAAATATCTACATCCACTTTGTTCACCTTGTACAACAATAGGAGTCGACATGTTCTTCATGAAATTCCCTACCACAAATTACACATTTCAACTTCCCATCCCTCACTTCCACATTACCATCACATTGATGAACATTCATTCTCTTATGTGATTAGTTTTACGCTCTTCTTTGTACATACCACAACTAGTAGTCATCTTCGTCCGTGACGTAACACTTCATATTTCTTATTCTATATATCGTTATAGTATTCACATAATTTTCATCCCACCTGAATATAAGTCATCACTACCATAATTATTATTTGACCCTGAAAAAACAGACAATCACACACACGTTCCCTAGTAAAGGTAAATAAATGCCTCATTATATGTAGATTTTGTTTCCTCATTTCGTAATTGTTTTGTCAATAGTGATTTCATTGCACCACTGACACACTAGACTAATAACCATTCCATCATTCAATTCGATTCTATCCCCCTTCGTTCACCCATCTTAATACTGACTAACATCATGACTTATTTCGGCTACTGACTTTCACATACTCTCATGGATGTATAACTGTAGTGTCTGATGAAGAAGAAGTTATTGAAAACAATTGTTTGCTGAAATTATACTAGCTAAGAAAAATATTTGCCACACAGTCAGGTGATTTTGGTGTCAAGTTCTATGCGCTAGATTAATGAATCGTGAAGTTTTCATTGACCTTCTATGCTCAACCACTGGCGTTAACTTTGATGTGAAGTGAACTATCAAGATTTTCCTGCAAATGATTGAGTAGCTTGGTGACTGAATCACCCACTTGAAGCAACCTAACACCATGAAGACCATTTATATCATCTAGGTTCTGTCAACTACATTTTCTGATGGAAATTGAAATGTAGGCAATAACTATTAGGTTATTTATAATATAATGTTACATTGTTAGGAGATCTATTGAAGTGACTGATTACTATTGAGATATGAACTGGTTAGACTGGGTTCGTTGACTTGATTTCTTATTAAGTGAAATATACATATGCATAACTACTTTCGAATAGAAGGTAACTGACGGTTACCGATGAACTGAATAATTTAAGTCGTTGAATTCTATCTGAATTTCCAATCGTTTTATCATTTATGATAGCAAGCATGAGTTTCATTGGTTGTCATTTACAGTTTATTGTAAAACACTAATATTATTACGGATAAGTATGCATTTATATATCTTTGTCGAGAACATCAGCTGATGTAGAAATCTCTTTCATCTAGAGTCTCGGTAAATATACTGAATCACTGAATAAGGCGGTTCCTGGATTCAGCTTTTGTATCTCCAATAGTTACAAAGTGAAGAGAAATTGATTACTAATATTTGTTCTCATTCACATCGTCGAAAAAGAAAATTTTTTTCGCTGAATTATCTCTTCTCTATAACTCAATGGGCATGTTTCGTAGTCAATACTATTTGTTAATCCATATATATACTACATTCTAAGAGGAGTAGAATTCCTGGTCAGACCATTTTACAGATGAAAACTTAACTTAGCAGACAAGAGTTTCACATAATCTAAGTTAAAAAACAAAGAAGTTCATAAACAGATTAGTGAGTCTAAAAGTATTCAGAACAAGAATAATTTGAGCGGACAATCGTCTTAAATAACTTTTTTTCAGGCTCTATAGCTACAAATCCATGAGAATAAGTGAAATATAACAGCCAAAATAAAGTATGATGTACAATCATTACTATATTCAGATAGTAAGTGTTTTAATGAGTGAATGGAGGGGGATCACATCGAATAGAATAATGGAATGGTTATCAGTCTCATGTGTTATTGTACAATAAAATCAGTAGTGACATTATAGTTACAAAATGAGGAAACAATATCTACAGATAGTGATTCATTTATGCACGAAACCTGGTGGCCATGAGGACAAATACTTAACGATGATATTGCGTGATGTTTTCACTATGTTGTGAACAGACACAAGTGGGAAATATAGGCCATTGGATCCTGACAAAGTGGCTCAGTAGTAGCATGCTGACCGTGGAATGCAATGTCGTGGGTTCGAACCCTGGGGGGATCATGGGTGCACACTGCTGAGAAGTCTCTTACTATTTGGGCGAAACAGATGTCCAGTTTTCTCAGGTTTCCAATGTTCCTTCAACTGATGTCAGTCCATAGTGAATACCAACTTGAAAGATCTGTAAATTTCCACAAACCCCCTAATTCATTTATATACATCTATTGAAGCGGGAATCTGTATGTGTGATTACTAAGGGTCAAATAATAATTATGGTAGTGATGACTTATATTCAGGTGGGATGCAAATTATGTGAATACTATAACGATATATAGAATAAGAAATATGAAGTGTTACGTCACGGACGAAGATGACTACTAGTTGTGGTATGTACAAAGAAGAGCGTAAAACTAATCACATAAGAGAATGAATGTTCATCAATGTGATGGCAATGTGGAAGTGAGGGATGGGAAGTTGAAATGTGTAATTTGTGGTAGGGAATTTCATGAAGAACATGTCGACTCCTATTGTTGTACAAGGTGAACAAAGTGGATGTGGATATTTCTTTTGAAGATATATATGTCCAGTTATCTTGAGTTGATGGTTATGGCTTCGACTATTGATGAGATGTGTAGTGTTGGACGAATAGGTAGATTTGAAGGGATACAATATATGACAGACGAGATGTGACCTACCTTAATCTTATGTCTGGTATTTACTAGATGTGAGAGGAATGTATTGTTCATGTTCATGTTCATTCTTTTTCCTAACCAAGATGGCAAGTTTTGTCGAATGCATATGCATAGGCAGCGCGTATCTGTATGGTTATCGCTATGATTATATGAGACTCCTATAGTTTGACAGACTCTTATTTCTGATACTGCATGATGTCTGAAGGTCATAAATGCATTGGAAACTGTATTCAATTTTTTTAATAAACTTGTCATTAAGCTGGTATTGATATCATTTTTCTAAAATATTCTTAATCTTTGTCAATTCTGAGCAATTACTCAGTTTTTTCAACATCTTCGAAAATTGCTAAATATAGTTTGATTGTTATGTACCATATCTTGTCTACAATGTAAGTTTATACATCTGTATATATTAGGAATATGTTTCATTAAATTGCTTAACGTTTTGTTTTCTCTCTTTAAATACTATTTTAGAGAATGTAAGATTATTAAAGATATGCATACACAGAAGCCTAAAGGATATGGATTTGTAGCGTATGCATCAAGACAAGTAAGTTGATTGGTTATAACCTTAAACGTTTGATTGATCACTCATCTAAAGCTCACTAGTCACTGACTTGTAAAATCTCTTTTAGATAGGTATGACTACTGTGAATTGAAAAGGAATGTTCATTGATGACAGCTGTGGCAAACTGAGAACTGCTGAAGTTTGAAAACTATGCATTATTTGATTTCAGTACAGTGACTGAATGATAGGTAACCTGTTAACTAACTGATCTAATGACGGTGTGATTTTTACCTGCTATATACTACATACTGACTAAAAGTGTTATGACCGGTAATGCGATCTAAGTGTCTACGAGCAATATGAAACTAAGACGAAAAAGAATCTTCTCTAATTGCTAACTGGAACGTCAATCAACACAACAACAATATTACCGACATGTGAAGACGAAGTCCGAAGACGAGCCTTTGACGCATAGGTTTTACTGTCTCAACAACAGTCAAAATAGCTGGGAGCAATCCTGAAAATATGCATTTCTTAACGACTTTAACAACGCTAAATTCACTGATAGGTTAAAACAGTCAACAATCAATAAGAGCTCAGCCTTTCGAAACAGTGGGATTGAGAAAAGCTGTCAAAAACGCCAAAACGACATGAAAACAGTAATAATGTAGTTGATATAAGTGTAAAACTTGAGCACTGTGGTAGAATGTAATTCTATATTAGATTTGTTTATTTGATATATAGCGCACAGTGATACAGTATTATTTACTTGATTACGTTTCGAGCATAAATTCGAAAGGGCAACAGAACATTTCAGTAAACTATACCTCAAAGAAGAAATTCACAGGATTATTAAGAAATTAAGTACCATTCAGAATAAAACTGAACAACTTAAATGTAAAACTATGAAGATAGTAAACTGCAGAGACTATGGATTTAAAATAGAAACATCAGACAAAGCAAGATTAGCTACTTTAAAGAAATCTAGAAACAATCAAATCGAAAAGTTCAACAAACTAATACAAGAAAAATATCCTTCGGAAAACTATGAAATTACAAAGGAAACATCATCAAACATCGATAGAACAAAGTGGGTAGTCAATCTCTCCTCGAAAGCCTTAAGCTCAGCTGAGATGAAAGTACTTGAAAAAGGACTAAACTTCAACATAACAGTAGATCATCTAAAACCAGAAGATGTCATACCTAGCATAGAAGTAGCATTAAGCTCGATGGATGTGACAACTGCTGAACAGGTTAGACCGCAGTGTGTATTAGCACTAAGAAAACAAAAGAAGACACAGCGAAACTTAACGAAACTGGGAAATTCAGCTGTAAACAATCTACGAAAGGACAGTAGTATAGTAATTGCTAAATCTGACAGTAGTTATGGACAAATCGGATTATCTTAAAAAAATGGATGAACATATCCAAACAGGGCCATATGAAGAGATTAAGAAACTATAGATACTGTCATGAGTAAAATTAAGACATCCACAACAGATCTGATACGCCAACTGAAGCCATCTCTAGGTAAGTCCGAATGGTTTACTTTAATGCCAAAAACTAATAATCCTAGCAGAATTTACGGTACTATTAAGGTTCATAAAGCAGGTTATCCCATTAGGCCGATAGTTGACTTCCGGACACACCAACATATGAGATATCAAAGTATTTAGCATCAGTATTACGTCCTGTTAGAGACCGTTCCAACTCTAGACCAGTAAATTCTTACGAGTTAAAACAAAATCTTAATGACCTGCATATAGAAGAGAATGAAAAATGGTTAGTTTTGACGTAACAAGTCTTTATACTAAAATACCAACCAATATGGCACTGGAGGCAGTCAAAAATCAACTAGATACTGACTCACAACTTACTCAAAGCATCAAGGCATCGGTTGATGAAATCATGTTAGGAGTGCAGTTATGCTTAACCTCGACAGTCTTCAAGTTTCACGGAAAGATAAATAGACAAACAGAAGGAGTAGCAATGGGATCACCAATATCCCCTATAGTAGCAGATATATTTATGGATAGTTGGGAAGATATGGCTTTACGAACATATAATCCGAAACCTAAGATATGGTGGCGATATATGGATGACACATTTACAGTGTTGAAATCGGAACATATCGACAGTTTCTTGACACACATAAACTCAGTAGTTAACGCAATCCAATTCACTACGAAGTAGAAAATGAACAAGGAGAATTACCTATGTTGGATTGCAGAATAAAACGAAGGATAGATGGTGGTTTAGATACTACCGTCTACAGAAAACCAACACATTCTAACAGGTATCTAGACTTCAAGTCATCTCATCCAGTGTCAGTTAAAGCGGTTTAGTCAAATGTGTAAATAACAGAGCTGAGAAACTCACTAGTCATTGTAAGGACTTAAATAAGGAATTGAAACACATAAAAGAAGCGTTAATAATTAATAATTATCCCCATCATTTTATTAAGAAATTCACACAAACACATAAGAAGCAAAATAATAACACTAATACAAATACAATATTCCAGAAAGAATAAGCAACAAGGAGCTCTGGAAACGAACCAACCAAGAACCTATCACGCAACAAATATGCAGAAGGAAGTGGAGATGGATTGGGCATGCACTGAGAAGGCCGACTGGGTACATCACGCGTCAGGCCAGTTGCTCGACTGGAATCCCCATGGGAAGCGACGAGTTGGGCGTCCTAGGTGAGGGTGACATGGAGGAGATCGTACGAGGAGGAAATGAGAGAGAGCTTCTGGGCTGTCGTAGAACCAGGTTCAAAAGTTCTCAGAGAACAGAGGTCACTGGAGACGTGCTAGTGAAGCCCTATGTTCCACTAGGAACCCAAGGGACTAATAAAATAATAATATAAAAACACAAATACAAATAATAGTGACAACATAAGTAGAAAGGAAACCAACACCTCTATTGTGATACCATACAGAGAAGGAACATCAGAAACCATATGTAGGATTCTCAACAAGGTTGGAATCAGGGTGGCATTTAAACCAACAAACTCACTTAGAGGTAAGCTTTGTCGGCTGGCTTAAGGATCCGATAGAACCAATTAAGCAAAATAATATAATCTACCGAATTCCATGTAATGACTGTGAAGTCAAATACATAGGTCAGTCAAACTAGCCGGTCGGGGTCAGTTAGATTAACAGAACATAGGAATTTAGCTAAACATAGAACAACAGACCCCATTAAGATCAATAACCTAGAAAAACACTTGGCCATTACATTACATTCGTTAACACACAACCACACAATAGGATGGGACAAAACCATTGTACTTAAGTCTAATATAGCTAGGTGGAGAGAGAGAGATTAATTACTGAATCTTTGTTCATCGAATCCACACCGAACACATGTGGAATAGGAATGACGCAACACCTATACCAGAGATATGGAGAACTTTACGACCAATCAACAACAACAAAAAAGCAAAGAGAGATCAGGTGACAGGACTATACAATCAGATACCGAAAGAAGTGTGATTACATTGATATGATTATGAGTAATGACAATTTATGCTCGAAACGTAATCAAGTAAATAATACTGTATCACTGTGCGCTTTATATCAAATAATATAGTTTTTTTGAGGTTATAGGCAAATAGTCATAATTTAGGCCAAATAAAGATATATAAAGACAAACTAGTCTGAAAACGTATTCATGCCTTCTCTTTTTCAGAGCTGTTTTCGTTGAAATGTTGAAAACTTATTTTTATATCCTCACAACAGCTTTACTTTATAGGTAAGGTATTATTATTATTTTATTATTAGTCCCTTGGGTTCCTAGTGGAACATAGGGCTTCAGTAGCACGCCTCCAGTTCATCCTGTTCTCTGAGATCTTTTGAACCTGGTCCCACGACAGCCCACAACCTCTCATTTCCTCCTCGCACGACCTCCTCCATGTCACCCTCGGACGTCCAACTCGTCGCTTCCCATGGGGATTCCACTCGAGGGCCTGACGCGTGATGTCCTCAGTCGGCCTTCTCAGTGCATGGCCAATCCATCTCCACTTCTTCCTGCATATTTGTTGCGTGATAGGTTCTTGGTTGGTTCGTTCCCAGAGTTCCTTGTTGCTTATTTTTTCTGGCCATCTGATCTTCAGCAGCGAGCGTAAGCAGTTGTTGATGAATGTCTGTAGTTTATTGGAAATACCTTTCGTGACGCGCCAAGTCTCTGAGCCATACAAGAGCACTGACTTGACGTTGGTGTTGAAAATCCGTATCTTGTTCCGGATGCTGAGTGCAGAAGATCTCCACACTGGTTTCAGGCTAATGAAGGCCTGTCTTGCTTTTCCGATTCTGACTTTGACGTCCTCGTCCGTCCCGCCTGTAGTTGAAACAGTGCTTCCTAGATAAGTGAAGGAGGTTACTTCCTTTAAGTTTCTCCCGTTGACAGTGATTGGAGTTTGTTGTTGTTGATGGTGGTGGTGCGGTATCTTCATCACTTCTGTCTTCTCTATATTCACCTGAAGTCCCGTCTTCGCTGCCTCTTCTATCAACTTGTTAGTTTTTGCCTGCAGATCTTCAAGTTTATGTGACATTAGGCATAAGTCATCGGCGAAATCCAAGTCTTCTAGGTTCTTTTCCGTCGTCCAGTGTATCCCCCTCTTCTCGCTGCCTACTGTTTGCTGCATGATCCAGTCCACCACAATCAAGAATATCATGGGGGATAGTAGGCAACCTTGTTTCACTCCTGTCTTCACTTCAAAGGCATCACTGAGCTTCCCATTGTGGATTACTTGGCATGTGGCATCTTCATATAGTTGTTGAATGAGGCGGATAAAGGTTTGCGGTACTCCGTAGTATTGAAGCAGTTTCCAAATTACTTCTCGGTCGACGCTGTCAAAGGCCTTCTCAAAGTCGATGAAGTTGAGGTGGAGAGGTGATTGCCATTCTATGCTCTGTTCTATGATGATGCGAAGCGTTGCAATTTGGTCTGCACATGATTTGTACTTCCTGAAGCCTGCCTGTTCCGGTCGTAGTTTTGAATCCAGTGCATCCCTTAGCCTCTCCAGGATGATGCGGC